CCCCCGCCGCGGCACATCTTTGGCCCGCACCCGCGTCGTCGTCACATCGCGGTTATGCCTCTCTCTCTCTCTCTGTGTGTGTGTGTGTGTGTTCTCGCGGGTTATGCCGCTTTATTTCGCCTTTTCTTTTTTTATGCCCCCTTTTTCCTTCCAACTTTTTCTTTTCCTGCGAGCTCCGCTCATTGTTGGGTTTGCACCGCCGCCTTGCTTGCCGCTCTCCAACTTCGGCGGGGCCCGCGGTGCGTTGTGCCTGGCTGACACTCTCGCTGCGGCGGCTTGGTGATGCCCGCGGAGGCCGACAGCCACGCACCGCCCGCGTCGTTCGACGCGGAGACCGGCAGCATGGCGCGCCTCGAGCACTTTTTGGACGCCGTTCTCCGCCAGTCCCTCGAAAGGGTGCTGCGGGAGCGCGACACGGTGTACGCGATGGCCTCCGACTGCTGCCAGCTGCGGGAGCTCTTTGAGGAGATGCGGGCCCTCTCCTCAACGCACTCCTTCATTGCAGAGGGTGAAGCCTCCTCCGCAGCCGCAGCAGCGGGAGGCGAGGCGGAGAGAAGGCCCCAGCGCAATCAGATTATGGTTGACATTGGCAATCACTTCTTCGTGCAGTGCGCCGTCAGGGATGCGTCGCAGGTGTGGGTGAACCTCGGCTGCGGCGTGGTGCTCCCCATGTCCACGGCGGAGGCGGATGCATTCATGCAGAAGAAGGAGAAGCTCCTGCGGGAGCGGGCGGCGCGGCTGAGCAAAGAGGCCCTGCGCATCAAGTACCGCATCCGCCTCGTGATGGAGGCCATCACTCGCCTGTACGACAGAGCCACTGGGCAGCGCGCGTGAGACCCGCTGCTCTCCCCCCACCCCCTGCGAGGTCTCTCCCTGAAGCTTGCCGCAGTGTTCTGCTCGGGAGGGGAAGCAGGAGATGGCATAAACCGCCTACGAGTTAACGGCCACGCGGGTGCGGCAAAGCGGTGGGTTGGTCCCCGTCCACACACGCCGGCACGCACGGACAACAGGAACGCGAAGGCGGGGGTGTCCCTGCCACCGTGCACTGACTGCAACGAACTCATTGCGGCAATCGCACAGCGACTTCTCACTTTTCTCTGTTTATTTGTCGTGCGTAGGGGCACACGGCTGCTAGGCATAGAGTAATCCCGCAAGGTAAGGCATCAAGCTTTTGTACATAGTCAGATCTCAGCTTCACTTCCCAGCGCACCTCCTAGCTCACTCGCGTGGGAGTCATACGATATATATATATATATATTTATACTTATACTGCGCACTACCCTACTTTTAGTTTTGCTATACTTCTTACTTTGGACTGCGTGTACGTGTCTCACCTCTCCACGATGCAGGGGGCGGACGAGCAGACGGTGGCGGCCGGCAACCCCGTCACCGTGACACCGTTGCCGCTGCATCTCGTTGCGCCGTCGACGCACACGCAGGTGCGCTCACCCAGCACCCAGGCGGCCCCGCCGGCGGTTGACATTGGCGACCTCATTGCCTACGAGTACTTCGACGACACCGCGGCGCGTTGGCGGTGCGAGTTGGCGACGGTGCTGGACAAGCCGGAGCCGGAAAAGCTTCTGGTGGAGCGGTTGGTGCAGAAGTCCCGGAAGAGTGTCCGTGGCGTGGTGGCCACCACGGCGGAGGGCCAGGCCATCCTCGAGCAGCTGAGCGACCTCCAGGAGGAGCTGACGCAGCGTGTCGGCGATGCCCAGCAGCGCTCGCGCGAGGTTCGGGAAAAGCGCCGCGCCGTTCAACGCGAGAAGCGGGAGCTCGACGACGCGCTGGAGATCGCGCGGGAGCACCTCGGGGACGTCCGCACGGCAGTGGAGAAGATTGACATCCGTCACTGGCGCGAGTTGGTGTCGTACCGAACCCCGCCGGAGATCGTCGTGCGGGTGATGGCCGCCGTGATGCTGGTCCTGGGCGAGCGGCGCCGTACCTGGGCGGAGATCATGACCGTCCTGCACCGCCCTGGGATGACGCAGCTGCTGGCGACCTTCGACTCCAGTACGTTGACGCGGGCGCAGCGAGAGGAGGTGCTGACGCGGTACATAAACACGCCAAAGTTCACCTACGAGGAGGCGATCAAAGGCAGCAGCGCCCTCTCGGAACTGTACCGGTGGGTAGTGGCGCACGTGCTGATGATTAACGTCAGCGAGCAGAGCACGCAGATGAGTCGGCTGCACGCCCGCCGCAGCTCCGACCTTGACGAGATGGAGCAGCTGCTGCAGGAGGATTCCAAGAATATTGCAGCAGTGAACAGCAAGATTGAGGCGCTGTGGCAACGCTTCAGGGAGGCGGAGGCGGCTGGCCCCTCCAGCTTTTCTGACTCCGCCAGCCTCACCCCCAGGGAGAGCAACAGCGCCAGACAGCGCCGCTCCCTCGCCAGGCCGCCTGAAACCGCACGCGCGGGAGAGACACTGCAGATGATGAGTCGGACTTGGCACTACGCGTCGGCGCCGGAGCGACGTCTCATTTCCATCTACAACGTACTCTGCAGGTTGGGCCCCGCGCCCCCCAGAGGCGAGACCATCACGTTGCTGCAGCAGCAGTGCAAGGAGCTCCTAGCCGCCGCACAGGTCAAAGACCGCCGCTCCAACTCCGTCCTCCAGCCAGCGAAGAAATTCCCGAGAAACGGCGACGCCACCAATGACGAGACCCCGCAGAAGCCGCCAGCTGAGGCGCTGTTAACGCCACGTAAGCAAGTTGCAGAGGCCATAGCCAAGCTCGAACGCCAGCTGCAAAAGAGTACGGAAGACAAGGCAGCAATCGAACGCGAATTGCAACAGAATAAAGTCAGGAATCAAAAGGAGGAAACTCCATCGAAAAACCATAGTAACGAAAACGACAAGAAGAAGAAAACGCCACAAAAGCGCATTAATGCGACAAAAGAAACCCAGCGCAACTCGCAACTAAAGGATACATCCATAACTACACAAGAGCCCAGCCCAAGTAAAAGCCACAAGGAAAAGGCGGCGCCGGTGCGCGAGTCAAATGAGCGCTGTGATGCCCTGGCTGCGCTGGAGCGCCAGCTGAAGGAGCGCGATGACGCCTTGGCGGAGCTGGAGCGAAGGCTGGAGGAGAGCGGCGGGGACAAGGCGGCGCTGGAACGCGAGCCAAAGGAGCGCGCGGACGCCCTGGCTGCGCTGGAGCGCCAGCTGAAGGAGCGCGATGACGCCTTGGCGGAGCTGGAGCGAAGGCTGGAGGAGAGCGGCGGGGACAGGGCGGCGCTGGAGCGCGAGTCGAAAGTGAGCGCGCGGACG